AGATTCTATGTAAGGCCCAAATGGAGCAGATTTGAGCTTAAGAAGCATTATCACATCTGTAACGATGGGGCAACTGTCGATTTTCCAGACATGTAACTGTATCAACCACATAATAGAAGGTGGACACCTGACTTATGTCTGGTGCAATTTTACTTACCATAATACTATCTAAAATCGTAGACCATCCAACACTTTCTTGAAAAAGCAAAATACAAGGAACACCCAGAGTTTAATGAAGCAAAGCGTATAAAGTTGGTTTGAGTTCAAGAATGAGCATTGACTAACAACAAATTGTGATATAAATTCAAATGAACGGTGGTGACATGTAGTGTGAAATAAGAAATAGCTTTGACATACCTTCAAAGACCACGTTCTGATTCTATCAGTTCACAAAATATCATCTTGACAAAACAGTATATACAAAAAGGTTTACAGACATCATTAAATTTACAAGGTGATCACAAAATAATATGATACAAACCATCCACCGTAAAAGTGATTTTGGAAGCACAAGGCCACATTACAAGCTTTCTTTGAGAGAACAGATAATCAATAACCAAAAAACCCATCAAAACCTCAAGAAACGTAGATATTATATAGACATTTAGCATATGTAAGGCCCAAATGGAGAAGATGGGAACTGGATGACATCAGCACATTTGGAAAGAAATTTGTAAAATGCCAGCTCTTGCCTCACATTCCATCATTCATGAAGGTTTGACATGATAAAATAGCACAATCATGCTATCACAAGCTTGGTATTTATTGAAAACATGGTTACTTTCTTGGAAGAGGGAGATAGCATAATATTATGGTCTACAAAAAATGAGATATAATAGTAGTATGCTAGTCGGATAGGAAGTCAAAACTAGCTACATGGTTAAGGTAGGCCCTTATCTCATTACTTCCACATGTCATGAATGTTGGGCCGGGCAAGTTCAAAAAATATGATCTTGCGAGGTCCAAGAAAGGCCCTTAACGTGTGATCTCCACATCACGACTTAGTTACTTACACTAGCAAAATCTCGCAGGTGAAAATATGATGTACTTAATTGCAAAATTCAATAAGAGATATCCCCCTCAATCAGATTTTATATTGCTAGGTTTAAAATTGATGATTCAAGGAAGCATGAAATCATCAGTAACATATAACATACAAATTTGTGAGAAACATACGCTTCCAAACGCCCCCTAACCGGCTCGCACATTTCTTTCTGCTAGAAATGTGAATTCAAATGTTTATGAGGTTAGAGAAATAAGAACTCAGCATGCACATTTCTTTCTGCTAGAATCATGAATTCAAAGGTTTATAAAGGAAACTAAAAAATTCTGGATCTAGAGAAAGGAGAACTAAAGTTGTACGACGAAAAATCTAAATATCATAAAAGTCTCCAATTACTTGCTTAGATAACTGTGGTAATGTCATCAACCATTTTCCGCAAAAGGATAATACTTTTAGAATATAGATGTACTTATTTTAAGTGGAAATGGCTCAAGCTTAGGATATCCGTACAAGGCTTCAAGGTTTAATGGATTTAAACACCAAACAAGCTGATGACAAAATGCGAGGCCACAAAAAATGATCATATCTTGATGATGACATTAAGGGATTGACAAAAGTTGACTATCAACATTTCATCAATGAATAATGGCCACAAGACAAGACTGTGGGCTAGCACCCTCAATTACCACCCATCATACTGAATTTATCTCAATAAAGCCTTGTCACAACACTAACAATCATCCTACTGACAGAAACCGTAAATAATGCATCGAGAATACCCATCTAAGCATCAAAATCAAAGCAACCCAAATAAATTTAATACCCAATTAAGCTCAGAATTTTGATACTAATAACAAAAACAATGACACAATGATATAAACCATCATGAGAACGAGAATGACCTTCAAAGTACATGAAGACACCATCCTTTCGGCGCCAGGGCTTACGCTGTCGGACAATGACAGCGGGCATGACCTTCTTTCTCAGATCCGGCTTGCCTTTCTTCACTGTGGCCATCACCATATCACCAACACAAGCCGAGGGCAAACGGTTCAATCGGCCCTTGATCCCCTTCACCGATATGATGTAGAGGTTCTTCGCCCCCGTGTTATCGGCACAGTTCACCGTCGCCGCCACCGGCAGACCCAGCGACATTCGGAACTTGTTGCCCGCCGATCCTCCACGCCCTACAACCAGTGAAAGGCAAGTTAATTGATAATTTAGTATTCAATTCCTTTTCTTTTGGTTGCTGAGAAAGAGGTGGAAAGTGGAAGAAAACGATGGAAAATGAGAGGGGAAGTGAACTGACCTCGCTTCGACATCTTCCGTCTGGAGAGATGAGCTAATTAGGGTTTTGAGTGGTTTCTGTATGTGTATATATAACAATTAGGGTTCGTGTTTTTATCAAATACCGAAATAGTCCTTATTCTTTTTTTGTAATACCAGAACGGTACCTCTGGGAAGTCTGGGTTTTGGAGTTTCGGACCCTATGTTATAGCGTCGTGGGATATGGGTTTTGGGTCACATTAATGCTCCGTTTTGTACGATGAAAAAATGAAAAGTTGAAAAGATGAAAAGTTTGAAGGATAAATAAAATATCATGTTTGGTAAAGAAGGAAAATAGGAAATGTGGAAAAGTTGATAGATTAATTTTTCTTCCAACTCACTAAAATCAATCCCTCCAAAATTGAATGGAAAGTTGATGGAAAGTTAATTATTTGTGTTGAGATGTATCTTATTTGTCTATATATTATGTATACATTAATTTCATATAAAAATCTATATAATAAAGTAGTTAGATTCTTTTGTCTTTAACTTTTCGCGGCTTAGATTACTTAAAAAAATATTGATCCAACGGTCCTAATACGAAAAGTTCTCTCCCTCCAATCTCTCCAATATTTTGAGTAAGACTTTTATTCATTCCACAATTCTAAGACTTATATATCTCTTATAAACTCTCTCTCTCTCTCTCATACTATACATTAATTAGGTTGTTAATTATAATTCTAATTAAAGATTATTTTTAAAAATTTAAATAAACAAAACGATCTGAAATAAATATTATTTGCGTCAAAATGAATCGAATGACTATAATATATGTCATATTTTGTATTGAAATAAAAATATTATAATATTCGAATTGTGTAATGTGATATATCAATATACTAAGGGGGCTATCATTATTTGTTTTGAATTTTTTGTGACTTAGATTTTTTTAAGATTATTGATCAAATGATTGAAATTCGTCTTCCAAATTTTATTTTACTCGATTATCGATTCAAAGTGATTATGATTAATATTTGAAGTGATTATAATTATTTTAACAATCAAAGTAAAATTGATTGTAAAAATAATAAAAAAATAACTAAGTTAAAAAAAAAAGTTATGACAGTGGACATGATAGATAAGAATTAATTTGTAGATTTAAGATAAAAGTGTTAATTGAGCAAACTTAAATTCAATTCTCGGTTTGACGTAATTATAATTAAGACTCAAATTGAACTAAATTTGACTGACGTGTACATATAATAAATTCTCACTAAAACTTAAAGGGTGGAGTTATTCTCACCCTATTTAATTTCTCGTTATTAAACTATTAAGTCTATTCTTTTTATATCCACCTCATGTTATATACTACTAACTTGGCCTTTTTTATGACTCAAAAGTCGTATATGTTCTTCTTAGTAAAATGGTTATTCATGTATAATACTAACTCGGCCTTTTTTATTCCTTATATTAATTGATTGTGCTATAATTAAATTCGTAATTTGTTCATGTTGGTGTGTAATATCGACACTCCATATGACAGCCAATAAAATATCCCATAGATGGTCTTGAGGTATCCATCCAACATTCGAGGACATTGGGATTAGGGGCGGAGCCAGGATCCTCTCTTAAAGGGGCTAAAAAATGACTGAAAAAAATTCACTAATTAAAACAAAAAATGTCAAGTTCAAGCATGGCAAAGTGTTTTAAAATTAAGACTAAATTATTATATGAAACTACAAAATAAAATTTTGTTTAAAATATGATCTATAAATCTCAAAAATAGGGTATAAGTGATTATTTTAAGCTACTTACTTAAAGAAAATGGATCAAGGATAACTTTTCACATATATTTTCCTCAATCCAAAAATAAAACATTTGTTTCAAGCGGGCGATGAGGCCGTGAGCTATTAAGTTGTTTAAAATACAAATAAAAAAAATACTTGGATCACTATTAATTCTCAAAAAATTAGAGGGGGCAAATGTATTAATTTTAGATAAAGTTAAATCCCTTAATATGTCATATGTAGAGTTGATCAAAAGTTCATAATATGTATGTAGAGTTGATCAAAAGTTCAGCGGGGGAAAGCGCCTCCGTACCTCATATCGTACTCCGCTCCTGATTGGGATCTAAATCATTTTTAATATGTTTTATTCTCAATTTCACTTAATGTCACATCACTCACTTTGCATTCGAGGACATCGAGATCTAGATCATGACGAGTGACCATTTTGAAAAAGACTAAATATGATAGTCTTTAAATTTGCATTCGATTTTAATTTCATTATTAGATCAAAACGAAAACATATGATTTGACAATGGATCAGATCAGATTAGTCTCCGATTGATCTAATAATGAAAATTGATGACTTAACTAAAATGGAATTGATAGTTCAGAAACTCAATTAAAAGTCTTTATGTATCAAATTAAAATTGAAAAACACAGTTTAAATACCAATTTTAATATTTACCCTTAGAAAAATTTTAAAAACTACATCCAAACAAGCCTAAAGGCCTGAAAGTGGTTTGGATAAATCATATATGCTTAGATATTTTAGGTGGAATGATCATCCAAACTATCCAAGCATATGATTTATCCGGGGCCTTTAACTAAAGCATTTAAATGACTTGGGTGTGAAGGCACCAGACTACAGAATTACAACTAAATGTAACTATGATACCACATTATTAGTGATATCAACTAATGATAGTATATCATGTGTAGTGGAACTCATTATTTTAGTAACTTCAAATAACTACCATGCTAATTAGCTAATAGCTTGGAATAGTTGAGTAAATATTTAATGCACAGTAATACCACATAAGCATTGTCATGTAGTATCACCATCTTTATGGTAAAATACAAAGTAGACTAGGTGAATCTCATTTTCGAACATCTGGGTAGCTAATGTCTTATGTGGAGGGAGAATTGGTAGTTATTATATTACGTGGAGGGGTAGTTATCAAATTTTGTAGGATCCACTTACTTTTTTGTTAACATATGATTAGATAATAACAACACATGATAATGTAGACATTGTATCACTATTTCATTGAATATTTTATCCAAATAATAAAGTTCACTTATCCTACATGGTACAGTATTAATACAATATTGTTGACGAACCCGAAATTAACTGGGTCAGGCCCAATAAAAATAAACCAAGAAAGCCCAAATAATTGTTGGATGTGGGGTTCCAAATATAGTAGAATCACCTATTGAAGTTTCTGATTTGAAATATGTAAAACAGTAACAAACAAGTATGAAACACGAAAGAGTTATAGCAAACGATAACACATAACTGTTTGATTAACAAAATAAAAATTAACCCGGTTCCAGAACAAGAACTATTATTGAACTTTAGGTAGATCAAGGCTAGTGTTTGACACTATGTTCTCAAGACAGATTTCGCCCCCCCACACACGGTGCTTATGGAATACTGAGCGTCTGCCTCCCAGAATACAATGATCTTTACACGAACAAAAGTAGCACTCCAATCTGCTCGTCCAGCAAACCAAAATCATGTTGTGTACTCTCTCTAAATGCACTGTGTTAATGCCGAAATGCAGACTGTTTAATGCCTTAATGGACTAATGAATTGAATGCAATTAATAGAAATGAGCCTGGGTATTTATAGACTCATTGGTGACTTTCCGGACAATCACCTTACTAAAGGACACAACCCAGAATGACAAGACATAACAACCAGTAGACACCTTGGGTAACTGTCCTCCATGAACAAACACATCTTAAAAATTTCGGACTAGACTCTTTTTCAAATCGGAGGGATGCCCAAATTTGAACCAGTGTGATTTAAAGGATACCGAAAAATTTATTTTGGGTTAAGAAATTCTCGCTCATTAATTAAATAAATTTTATCCAAAAAGATAAGACTTGGTCACACCCACACCCACACTCGAGCCCGAGCTCGGCCCGCGCACGTATGGTTGAATTGAAGGTATATAGATACTCGCTTCTCTCATAGAACTATGGTACCCCTTGGAGCCCAATCCCACAGAGCAAACTTGGTCTATATATGCCCATGTTGAATTTCTTCCTCAACTAATGTGAGATTGGTGTCACATCCCACATTGCAATTCTTTTATTTTCATGTTTCAGGAGAGTCACTTTGGAGCCTATTTTCTCATTTATTTGTTACTTGATTTGAACATGTGAATATACCATGTTATCCTTCTTACGGAGTAGAATATGAATCCACGAAATTTTATCAAAAATAATATTGGGTCCCACTTTAATTTATGCTTAAAATTGACCAAAAACTCAAGGGTCATTTGATAACATTTTTGTGTTCACGTCTTGAAAAAAATTAAAAACAGAGATAATTTTTGTCTTTGTTTTGTGATAAACACCAAAACAAAAAATATGTTTGAGAGTCGTTTTTGTCTATCAAATTATTAGAATAAAAAAATATATATGTTTGGTAACGAATTCAAATTTTATCCTAAATATATTTGGTATCTATTTGGCAATTAAATCTCAAATCAACACAACACATACATACACACGCACAGATCTTCTTCCTCACATTGGAGGTCATGACTTGAAGACAATCACCACATCCTCTTCTTCACCTTCTATGCACAGATCATGTGCATATATGCATAGAGAAAAGGGAGAGAGGAGAGAGGAGAGAGAGAGGCAGCGATGGGGAGGAGAGAGGCAATGATGGGGAGGAGATAGGCAGCGATAGGGGTTTCTCTTCCAGTCGTCTGATAAAGAGAAATGAGGAAAGGAGGGAGAGAAGAGAAAGACAGAGAGAAGCGATGGGAGGAGAGACGCTTGAAATGGGTTTTATACTCCCACGAAAAATAACACATTTTTGTAGATAATGAGGGTCAAATCCAAGACCTCATTAAAAATTTCAGCTGAGTTGCGCGTGTGTTTTGTGTTTTCGGATTTTTTCTGAAACATAATTTTTTTGTTCCAATTTTTTTGTCTTTGTTCCCATTTTTTCCAAGACAACTAATATAAAACAAAAAACAAAAATAAAAATAATATCCCAACATGTTTTTGTTTTCATTTTTGATAAAAAT